CCGTCGGAGCAATAATGCGTTTTTATAAACGAGCATGTCTGTTTGCTTGGACACAGTAGCTGCAGCAAGACTCATCTTGGAGACAGTGGTCCACCTCGAACCGCTTGCATAGACCGGGAAATGATAAGTAAATGACAAAGATGGCAGACATTGGCAGCCCCGCAATTATTGCAGACTGAAATGCTACCAAAAAAACCCAACGCAGAGTTTCCTGCTTAAATATAATGTCTAATTTCTGAAACTAGCTGCACATTCCTTTTCTATTAACGTTACTACTCATCTAAATGCAACGACAAAATCCCGATCATCCCGAAATGAGCTCTGTCACGGGGGAGAGGGGGGAGGGGGGGACTCAGAGAGCAAAGGAACCGGGAATAAAAGGTCCCGAGCATTCCATGATCATTCCAACTATTGCTAACGTGCACGCGCGCGCCTCTCTAGCAAACTGTCATGCAGATTTGAATACGTTACATTCGGTCCTGCCTTCATTCATTCGTTCATTATCCGGCAATTGTGTGCCAGTGTCATTTGACTCCATCCCCCCCTCCGTTCTCCCCTCGGTGCGCTGAATGGATCATGGCGCAGATGTGGGACGTTTGTGTTGTTTCCAGGAGGTGCTGTTGAATGCCTTCTGCCCAGTAGCTCTGCCCTCCCCCTTTCCTCCCCCTTTCTTTCTTTCTTTCTTTCTCTCCACCCATTTATCTATTGAGATGTACTGTACACTATGCAGCCACCATAAAGTGCAGCATTGTGTCCCATGATGGTACGAAATAAATCCCTACGGCGAGAATGCTTTATCAAAAACAACCTTTCAACTAATTATAGAGTAACACAATTTAAACTACACGCATGACTGTATTGTCCCCTTGTGCGAAGTTACATGCACAGCCGTGTTTTGTGTTGGTGAAACCTGGAGTGCTTTGTTGTTGCTGTATTGAAGTGGACTGGTGCAGCATCTCCACGTTCCTCTTTTAATGCAAACTTGTTTTTTGGGGGGTTTTCTCGACTGAACGAGAGGGCCATCGATTTTCTGGTGGGGTTTTTACCTTCTTTCGCTCTCCACTTGACAGTAATTGTGTTGGAGCTACAGTAGACGGACGGTGCTCCTCATCCCAATGCGTCGGATGTGAATGCGTCACGCTGGTTATTCTCCCGGACCTTTGCTTATACAGCACCCGGAGCTATTCATTCATTCATAGGGTCATTGTTATGGTTGACAAAGAGTCCTGTTTAAACGAGCAGTTGTGAGTGATGTAGTCCACAAACACAATATACATGTATAATATGGGTGTACTTTTGGAAAAATCAATCTGTTTGACAATGAAGATGTACTTTTACGTCTCGCTCACACCTGCATGGTTTTGTTTTGCATTCTCGTGTCACCTCGTTTGCCTGAATGAGCCTCTCGGGTCTGCGCCTCCGTGTTCGCCCGGTGTGTCTTTGTCTTGACGTAGCTGACATGTAATCTAAAGAGTTGAAAAATGTAGGAGAAACCACCAAGAGGAAGAGACGACGAGCGTCAACTGTGTTCCCTGTGGCGATGCTGCGTGTGCACGAGCAGTCTTTCCCAGGGATATTATTACTGTGCATCACTTCTGGTATAAATGATTGAATTGGAGAAAAAACTCTCTTTTAGAATCAATTTAAAACTATCATTTGCCATATTGTGATATGTAGTGTAAGTGCATTCATTGAGCAGAAACTGGCACCTGACACTCGTAACACAAACAACATCCACAGCAGAGCTGCCAAAGCCTCTTGCTAATGACGCAATCACCATTTGTAGGACGAGATCGACATGTAGTCAATTAGAGACGTATCGCTGGTGTTACTGTTCATATGTCATCGAGTGATTTAGAGCCCTTATTGGTCAGGATCATAATCTGAACATGAACAAACATGCCGAATAAAACATCACATTCTAAAAGCTCTGCATGGTTGTTTGACAGAAGACGTTGTCCTACGGCCTTCCTTTGCTCCGTTGTCGTGGAGATGTCTCTTCAGACATCATAATTAAATCTGTGTAAATGCACAATGTGAAAGCACATGCGTGTGTTGAGTGAAAGAGTGAAATGCTGAAGAAAATGTTCGCTTCGTGTGCAAATGCCAGACTCGTACGTGCACATTGAGTTTAGAAAGAGACAACCTGCACCGCTGTGCGTGTGAGCGCGCGGCGTCCCAGGAGGAATGGATGAATCGCCCGGAGACTCCGCCCCCTCCTCTCGGCCTTCCTTTCTTTCTCTCGCAAGGCACGCCCCCCCTCTCGCTGCGCCCGTATTGGTTGAGGGGGCGGGCCCTCGATACGGCGATTGGTCGGCGTGTCTTTTAGGATGAGCCTCGCGCTGCTCTTTTCTTCAGTCTGGCTGTGCAGAGAGCAGGAGGCGGAGGAGGAGGTGGAGGGGGGGGAGAGAGAGAGAGAGAAAGGAACACACAAACTGAGTGGAGCACGGGGAGAGAGGAGGAGGGAATCAGCTGAGAGACGAATGACAGCATGCAGCTAACGGGGAGTGAGATGATCGAGGACGGTAGGCAGAGAGAACAATTTGATCTTTTGGTGCACTTTATTTCTCATTGCTCTTTGTTGCCGATGTTGGTTGTCTGGGCTTTTTTTCTTATTTCCATTTTCCTGTTGCAATCTAGCTACATTTATTTGCAATGTTAAATAGTTTATCACTCTTTCATATTTTACTGTGCTTTGATTCTTCTTGCAGCACTTATGCTGTATGTGTGTGCATGTCTTCGTTGCTTCTGTTACTGACTTTGCTTTTGTACTGGATTCTGTGAAAAATCGATCCACGGAAAGATGCTCAACAAAAGAAGAATAAGAAGTCTTGTGTTTCTGGACTCTGATTTAGAAACTTGTGGCACTCTGAAGCATCTCTATGAGGTGTGTGTGTGTTTTAAAGTAGGTGAGTGAGCACCAGCATCACAACTGTAAAAAAACACACATGCACTTCCACAGTTGTGAGGCAGGTAAGCTTACACCCACTTCCTGTAAACACACACACACACACACACACCTGCAGCTCTTGACTTTGTCCAGAGGTGAAGTTGTGGGAAGAGATTGAGGAGCAGATTTCTGTGCGTGTGCTGACACTAACTGTTCAGGAGAGCTGTGGGTTTCTGCCTGCATGCAGCGTATCGCTGTGCGTGTGTGTAGCTGAGTGCTGCTTCTTTGTTTGGTGAGGGGGGGGGGGAAGAGAGGAGGAGGCTGCGCTCATGGTCGCCTTTGTTCACCAGCCCTCTTGCTCTCTTAGAATTGTATGCAGTAGTTGGGGCAGGTTGTCATTTAATCAGCGTTTCTAGATGTAGAACAATGCAATTGTGTAAGTTCTCCTATTTGAGACATTTTCGGGTTCCGTCCTCTTTAGCAGGACGGTTGTCATTAGTAAGTTTGACTTGTTTTGTGCAGGACAGAGGTTTGATGAGCAGGCGTGACACTCTGCTGGATGTAACGCTTCAAGCTTTGCAACAAAGGAGTTTAACCCATGCATGTTACTATATGATACTGTTGTCAGTTATCTATTTCATCTTTAGGAAATTTCACATGTATTGCATTTTATTGATGAATTAAGCCTTTAAAAAGATTAAAGTAAATATTAATGAAAATGGCAAAGGATCCACCTACTGTCCTTTATGATGCTGCACGCTGTGGGATCAACACACACGATGCATTTCACAGCAATGCTTTTCTTTACCTATTTTTCTTATTTCCTGAGCATTTCAACCCGTTATTCAAAATGTAATATGAAGTTTATAAAGTGCTGCCAGAGAGAAAGAGTAGGTAGAAAAGCTCATCTGCTCTTAGTCTGTTTTCTACCAACAGTTTATTTTAATTAAACTGCTAACTGAGCTGTTATTTTCGTAATTGACTTTCTCCCTGCACATAATGCACAATGTCCCGTAGCAACTGAAATCCCACCATAAGATAGCAGTTGTATAATGTCACAGAGGATCATGAGGTATATTCGATTTCTTTATGTGTCAAACTAGTTGACTTTAGAGTGTAATGGTAACAAAATGACATTGCACACGTTCATGAATTAATCAATTATACACAGAAGTAGCAGCTGTACAAATCATAACAAATTGGGTATAATTTATGCAGCATTTTTTCATCCTCTCCCTGTGCATTGTGGGAATTCCCCTTATCCGTCGTCCATGTGAGGGTAATTTGTGACGCCGGGACGCGCCTCAGGTGGCATTTCAGGGAACATTCATCAGTGGACTTTCCCTCTTTTAAAGGACGCCGTCACTAGCCGTGCTCTTTCTTTCTCTCTGTGTGTGTGTGTGTGAGTACACGCACATCTAAACAGATGTTTGATTTAGAAGATCTGCTGTTCCTTAAACTGTATCCAGATGTCCCCAGAAACTTCTTAAAACCCCAATGTGTGTGTTGGTACTGTGGGTCATACCCAGGCCAGCTCCCTGATTGGCAAACACTTGTATTTGCTTTGTTCTGTAACGACAACCTCGTTCTTTGGACAGAGATTGTTCCAGAAATATGCAATTGACAATATTCTGGTATAATGATAATAGCATAACAAAATGAACTCTTGTAAATATGCCTAATGTCTGGGCACTGTCACACTGGGCGTGATCACAAAGGGACGCAGGGTCCTGTGTGTTGCACGTGGTTTATGACAGAATAATTACTGTGATGATGTATGGGCTGCGCTTGTCATTCGACTGTTGGCCTGTGTGATTAATAGGGACTCGTCCACCAACAGCACCGCTGCTGCATTTGTGTGGAGATGCTGTGTTTAGAATTTGCATATGAGGTATGCGTGCATGTTTGGGGATGAATTCCAGACGTTCTCCGGCCTCTTCTGGTGTGATTTGTCGCACCGAGCTGCAAAGTAATGAAACACAGGAAGAGTATTAACTCTGCTTCCTCTCCCTTGGCAGTCATGGACGGGTTTGTTGTGTTTTGCTACAGCCACTTGCATAGTGCGTTTTTTGTGCTTACCAGAAACGTATCTTCTCTTTCTCTCCTCCAGCTCTTCCTCCGAAGCCGGCAAAGCCACAGCAGCCCTGCTCGGTCGGGACGGGAGGAGGCAGCGGCAACGGCACCAAGGACGGTGGAGCGGGAGGCTCGCTGCAGGAGGCCGAGTGGTACTGGGGGGACATATCCAGGTAACGCATCTATCCACAGATCATTATCAGATGAAGCAATAATGTTGCGCCCAAATTATTGGCATGATTTCATGAATACGATGTCCAAGTAGGGATCGACTGCTGCTACTGTGTAACAATTATAAAATCTTTTCAAATAAAACCGTGTGTGCACAGATCACTCCACCGACGCAGACTCAGTTCTTTTGTTCCTGTTTGTTTTGTCCTCAGGGAGGAGGTGAATGACAAGCTCAGAGACATGCCGGACGGGACCTTTCTGGTTCGGGACGCTTCCACCAAGATGCAGGGCGACTACACACTCACGCTGAGGTACGGCCTTACGTTAGTTTGGCAGAGCGGGTTTAAAAGCACAGATTCACGGAGGCTGGGACGGAGATTACTTCTCCTGCTCCACGTTTATGCCGCCATCCCTCGTGTTAACTGCAGATTGGGGGAAATCATGTGTTGAGAAGCCTTTTGCTTACGCAGCATCCCGGTAATTTGGAGCAAATCGCCCACTGCCCTGGAAATAAAGTGCTTGAGGGGGCAAAGTGAGCCTGAGTATTAAAGACGGCCGTTTGGGGAGCCATTGCTCACCATAAATGTTTGAATATAGTTATGAACGCGTGCTCATGTTCTTGCACACACACCCTTTTCTTCCAGGAAAGGGGGAAACAACAAGCTGATAAAGATCTACCATCGGGACGGGAAGTACGGCTTCTCCGACCCGCTGACGTTCAGCTCGGTGGTGGAGCTCATCAACCACTACAGACACGAGTCTCTGGCTCAGTACAACACCAAGCTGGACGTCAAACTCGTGTACCCCATCTCCCGCTTCCAGCAGGTAAGGAAACCAAACCAGAACAGAGTCGGTTGTGAAATGATCGTGTGAATAATGTGGGCGGGCTGTTGTCATGGTTTGAATTATTACATAAGTTAAAAGCTTTTTCGGAGCTCATACTGAACTCATCTGTCAGGCGATACTAATATTTTCATACTACATTGGACACATCTTTTCCTCCGGTGCCGATCATGCTGCCACGCTCCCTAAATAATTGCACACATCGGCGGTGTCAAAGGGCAGTGGTTGCATTTCTTCCCTCCTGCCCTCGTTTGCCGGGCGAGTCATTACTTAAGGCGTGTAATCTCCGGGCGCTCGTGCATCCACGCCGTTGGTAATTAACGAGCCTAATCGGAATCGGGGGTATAGGTGGCACGTGCACTTTTCTTCAGTGCGCCGCTCGCTCTCCAATGCCGGCTCTCATTTCTACCCCCCAGGACCAGCTGGTGAAGGAGGACAATATTGACGCTGTGGGGAAAAAGCTTCAGGAATACCACAATCAGTACCAGGAGAAGAACAAAGAGTACGACAGACTGTACGAAGAGTACACCAAGACGTCGCAGGTACGACCCCCTCCCCCCGCCCCCCCACCAAGTCTTAGGACTTTTCTTTGCTGCCCTCAACAGGAAGTGCACGTTGTCCCGTCCGCTCACTCCCCCTCCTCTCCTCTTCCTCCCCCCCTGCAGGAGATCCAGATGAAGCGGACCGCCATCGAAGCCTTTAACGAGACCATCAAGATCTTCGAGGAGCAGTGCCACACGCAGGAGCGCTACAGCAAGGACTACATCGAGCGCTTCCGCCGCGAGGGCAACGACAAGGAGATCGAGAGGATCATGATGAACTACGAGAAGCTCAAGTCGCGGCTGGGCGAGATCCACGACAGCAAGGTGCGGCTGGAGCAGGACCTGAAGACGCAAGCCATGGACAACCGGGAGACGGACAAGAAGATGAACAGCCTGAAGCCTGACCTCATACAGCTCCGCAAGATCAGGGACCAGTACCTAGTGTGAGTACAGAGCCGCTACTACAGCGGCTGAACTTTCTTTGATGCCGTCAGTGTTTGTCACATCTAGTGGTTTGTCTGAGGAGAAAGCTAAATGTTCCATAAGTGGGTACACGGACCTACGTGTCCCGTCTTGACTCGTTAAAGCAAAGCATGTCCATCCAGCGGCTAAACACAAAACCATTTAGTATCAAACGGTGTGAGATCAACCAGACGTTTCAGTCAAACGGCCTGAAAAACAACTGCTGCTGGATCAGAAATGTTGTAATAATGTCGGTCTCTCCTTTAGGTGGCTCAATCACAAAGGAGTTCGCCAAAAACGAATCAACGACTGGCTGGGAATCAAGAACGAAAACACCGACGAGTGAGTCTTCACTTTGACTCTTTCTTCCTGTCGTCTTCTAAGCGTTCTGTGAAGTCCTCCCCGTTCACTGTTTGTCTCGCTGTGCAGAGGCTACTTTGTGAGCGAGGAGGACGAGAACTTGCCCCACTACGATGAGAAGAGCTGGTTCGTGGGGGACCTGAACAGGACGGAGGCGGAGGATCTGCTGACCGGGAAGCCGGACGGAGCGTTTCTCATCCGGGAGAGCAGCAAAAAGGGCTGCTACGCCTGCTCAGTAATGTGAGTACACACAGGACTATTTCCCCTCTCTGGGAGGAGACGCAGACATTTGGACTATAGAGGTTCATTTGTTGTCAACCTTCAAGAGACATGCATGGATTCTTCTTTGTAACTGTGCTTAACATGATCAATATATAGGTAGTGTATTAAACTGCCCATTTTCATTTAATAACTACCGCAGAATACCAATAAAGCTGTTTTACTAAATTGCACTCCGACTAAACGTGCATACAACAAACATGCAAAATGAAAAAAAGGATACACGAACACTGATGTGGTTTGATTGAAGCCGTCTTCTCTTTGTCCCCAGTGTGGAAGGTGAGGTGAAGCACTGCGTGATCTACAGCACGCCGCGAGGCTTCGGCTTCGCCGAGCCGTACAACCTGTACAGCAGCCTGAAGGACCTGGTGCTCCACTACCGCCAGGCCTCCCTGGTGCAGCACAATGACTCGCTCAACGTGCGCCTCGCTTACCCCGTCTACGCACAGATGCCCTCCGGACGCAGATGAGCCCCACCCCCCCCCTCTGCTGGAAGGGAGGATGAAGCGGGGGGGGGCTTGGGTGAAATGCAAAGCAACCCCAACACCAGACCCGACAAAGATAAAAACAAATTAAACACTAGCTGCAACACACACGTCAGCCACCTTGGAGTTATATATTTTTACAAGAACTATTTCGGAGGGCATTCTTTCTAAAGACTGCTTGATTTGCACAAGGAAGTTTTAAATGTTTGTGAATGTGAAGGAAGGAAACGGAGTAGGACACTTCAGATTGACCCCGCTGCTACCCAAACTCCAGCTCAGACCTTTTACGGGAAACTCCAATAGACGACGAAGACAAAACATTCCCAAATGTTTCTTTTCTGTTTGCACCTCGGATGATAATATTACGAACTTATTTTGCTTGTTTCCTTTCGTTAAGCGTAACTTTTTGGGGTAAATGCAAGAGGAGATGATGTCATGTGTCTGTCCTTTCCGTACAAAAAGCTAAAATAATGTAGCATAACGCGACAACGGACACTCATTTCATGAAGTGTTCCTCCATGTAGACTGCTGCTCAAGAGTTTAGGGGGCGACACAAAACAGTTTTGTAGTCTAAAAACGAAGGCTTGCTTTTAAACTACTTTTTTATTTTGTATTATTTTTGCTTAGCTGAAACTTGGTTTTTCTTTTGTTTATATATTTTTGCCAATGTCTAAATGGCAACGTCACGGAACCAGAGACCAAAGTGGGGGGGGGACAGAGTCAGCTGGTGGGTTTGGTTTTTTTGTCGAATGGAGGGAAATGAATGGTGTGTTTGAGACCACACATAAAACCGAGTTTTGGGCCACGTGCTTGTGCACCAAATAGCCTTTTTGGAAAACCAAATGGTACGGAAACATACGCCAAGGCCTTCTGTAAACACAGATGGGGGAGTATGAAGCACTTGAACGAGTTCCAGATGTGACCTCGGCACTCTGTACTCTGCTCTGTGATTTGCTCACCTAGCGTTCTCCTTGTAGGCGAAACGTCAAAATGATTCATCAATAAAGTAGCCAGTCTGCCAATGAAAAGATAATTGGCAAGTGAAACGAGTTGTTTTGAGACTTTCTTTATCCATCTTGTGTCACGTGGGCTATGACCCTTTAGAGTAATTGATCTCCTGCAGCCCGAATCACAACGTAAGCGGTCTTATAGTTCGGTATTCTTCTAATACCTCAGCCGTCCTGTAAACGTGTTTGCTGCTAAGCCAAACAGCGGACCTGTACAACCCTTCCAACCACTAGATGTCCCACTTCATTGGAGGCCATGACTGAGTGAAGCGAGGGGAAGATCAAATATTATTTACTCCTTTTATGGACAAACAAATCTGGTATTAATAGCAATACAAGCGCAATTTGTCCATGTCGGCTACTTTTATAGAAATGATTCTTGAGTGCTGAGGTCACAAATGGTGCTACACTTAAACCAGACTAATGTCCCATTTCACCAAAAGCATGAAAGAAAACTGAAACCCATTTTATGTGTGGTTTGAAAGAGTGACCGGAATATAACAACCGTGGGTTAAAAAACCATCAAATAATGAGCTTGTATCTTTGGACAAAGCGGGTTTTAGAAGAAAATACTGAATACTTGGATGAACGTGCAATCTAGCGTTGTGTGGCGCACGCCGGTCAGATAATCAGTGCAGCTGCTTCACCTTAAAACCAGTGGAAGCATTTTCTGTCCAAGACTAAAAGAGCATCACAATAATTAAATAAGGACGAAAGTTGGACTCTATTCTACCTAGAAATTGGAAATCAGTGTTACTGACTGGCTGCTGTAAGGATACGATAATGCTGATCGGCTGTTCCTTTTTGAGGGGTGGGGGGGGGGTTATGCCCACCTCATAATCTGCAGCTATTTAAAGGATGGAAAGCGAAGGTCAGCAGAGCAGCGAGGAGGGCAGATAATATCTTGACCTTGTTCGACAGCTGCTCTTCATTCCCTTAAAACACACTCGCTCACAGGAGAACATTGAAGAGGGTCTCCACCAAAAAAAGACTGGTTACAAAGTCGGATTCAGCTTTCTCCCGCTCTGTCGTTGTTTTTTGCGGTACAAAACACACACAGTTATGACAGGCGTGAATCAGGTGGACGGAAGAGGGCCGTTGTTTGAGTTGCTGCAGGAGAGTCTGTGTGAATGAATGATACTCACCACGGTACGTGTCCTCCTCCATTCCCCACGCTGTCGTAACCCCCGCCGATGTCACGCCGTCCCTCTGCTCACATTAGGTAGATGACCAGCGGGAGGTCAGGTCTCTGGACCTGGAAGCCATTGATAATAAGCCATCTCTGATTTGTTTTGCGTGTCCTCATGCCGGCACTTTATCTAAGTTGACCGAACCTCAAAAGACAATTGAAAATCACGCGGTTCCATAACTGCTTCCAGTTATCCTCACATTGTCGGCACATTGATAAAGATTAGGTTTAAAATAACATCCTCAACCATGTATATCTGTTCCAATTTGTGCTGGTGTAACATGCGCAAGGCTACACGCAGCACCTACTGGGACCTCGTGGTCAGAGGTTGGACGAGGTCTTGAGAAGTAAACGTAAACAAGGCCACATGGCAATTAGCATAACCGCGTAAAAGCAAATCGTCATTGGACGCATTCAACGATGCAGGCTTGTTTTGCGCCTCCCGCGTCTCTTATTTCAGGGCACAAAGTCACGTTCACACAGGAAATGTGACTTTTTTTTACCAAATTTTGAACTTGCAAGAATTAGAACATAAGTGTCGACTTTGCGGGTGTCTGAAGGGAAGGCGGGGCTTACCCACTTAATCTTGAATGTACAAATAGGATCAGTCCGTGTCCACGGCGTCCCCCCCCCCCCCAACCCTCAACTTTAAGCACCACCAGTCGTGTTTGGCCGTGACGATCATAACTCTCAAGGTGCTATCGGGAACGACGGCCTGTTCCATCCGGCGGACGTTCAACGTCTCCACGACCCTTTCTGCTCATTAACCCTCAGGTGTTTCAGGTTTACCGTAGAAACGATCACACAACAAAACCAGCGATTTACAAAAACCTACATCAATAAATCAGGGTTACTTCTGCAATGAGACGTCAATCACTCTCAGCCGATTAAGCTAGAGCCCCACATCTCTGACTTCTGAAGTGTCCTCCCTTCAAGAGGCGTGTCCTTCATTGCTTCCTGTAGCCTAGTCAAGCCCCCCCCCCCACCACCACACAGTCTGAAGGTTTTATGTTTTCCTTCCGAACAGGGACCTCCAAAACATCCCTAACTTTATTACTTGAACTGTATTGCATTGCTGACTATTGAATGTCTTTATATGAAATACATTTATTGAAGGAAAAATAAACCTGAAAAGAAGTTTGTTTCACAGTGAGCAGGGCCGGGGTTTTTAGAGTTTTATGACAGATGTACAGTATTGGTTACAGGCAGACGCAGAGCTACTTTAGGAGGGCAGGAGGCGCTTTTTTGAAACTTCTCAGCGATACGTTCGGATCTTTTCCTCCACAGAGGGCTCGTCTGAAATTGCACACATTGTAATCTACAATAGACTTGTTTTAATATTAACCTGTGGCGTCTGCGTGAGCATCACGAGTCACATTCACACGGCGGTGTCGTGTCCGCCGTGCACACAGAGCTTAAAGACGTTACACTTTGAGTCGTAGTCGCTGTTCTTTGACTGTTTTCATTTTTCCCCCCAAAACATTAAGACCAAAGATTTCAGTTCTCGTTAATCCTTCAGTTGTCGATCATTGGAAATGGATGTATCAGTGATGATTTTCTTTTTGTCTCCATTGCCTTGATATTTACACAACTCAGACGATAAAACCACGTTCTGTGAGTGCGTGTCCCGTACAGCTAGCCAGGATTGTTGGTTCATCTGTGCAGAGTTTAAACAGGATCCGTGTTCAATGATGTCCCGATGTAGAATCAATCAGATGTAACTTGATCTGCACTCCTCTGTTTGTGTACAAACTGACTTCTTTTCACAGAACTACAAAAAGTCTCGACTGGCCATAGCTGGAGTTTGGATACTTACTGCAATTTTAAACTTTTCTGTATCTGTTGAACAGGTCCTGCAAAAATCTCAAGAGCAAAAATGTGTTTGGAGAATCTTCACATAAAGTTCCCTTTAAATGGATGGCAGTGCATTTTTTTATTGTGTGTTAAAAAAATATTATTATATATACACTTATATTTGGGGAACCTCGGGGGCTTTGTTCATTTGACAGCAATTTGATAAGACCAACTTTTTTCTTTTCCGTGTTTATACTTCCAAAGAGGTATCAAATGTAAATGGATGTGTATTTTGAAGAAGAAACTTCTCCCTCCAACAGCAGTAACCTGCTGCACAGAGGGCCAAAAATATTTGTATCAACTGTCTTTAAAGCGTCGGCCGTTTTTGATCATTTCAGTCAGATGCATCCAACACTTACACGTTTGAGGTTTCTGCAGGACGGCTTCTCCTTCGGGAGTCACTCCACCACAACATGCAATATCCCCATTTCTGTCGGCCAGGGGTTTTTGGTGGAGGAGCGCATGTTTAGCCTCAGGTGCACCCGTTCCACTCCCGCAGTGCAGACGTCTTTGGAACGGGCTGCGTTTCTCTCGTTGTAGTACTAAGGACAGGACAGGAAGGAGTTCAGCGTTAGTGGGACAAACCAAAATACGTCAAGTTTAGTTCTACAGACTGTTTGGTTGAGTTTTCACGTTGGAAAACTCAAATAACTCCAGAGTTTAAAAAAGTCTTAGATCCACCTTTAAGAAAATAAAGGAACTTTTTGATCCAAACAAAGGTGCAGTCTCTGGAACGGAAAGGTACAATAAGCCTCCTGTTACCTTTCTGTGACGGTGTTTATGCTCGCCACCACCCGAGGACTGTTAAAACTAGCAACTGTCTGTTGTTCCTCTGCTACCGAAATAGTACTTTCCGTTACTACAAATACTACTGCTCGCCCTCGAGCAGTTTCTGCAAAGTTTTATTTGCAGCCAGGTTTGAATGGGTTTGTGATTCTCAGCAAAGAGTTGTGTTGTTTCTTACCACTGCTCATCTGATCACAGTACCCAGCACAGCTTCGAGGAGAAACAGCTTCATATATATATATGAAAATAAAAGAACTTTTAAAATAAACTAACTTGAAAAAAAGATTTAAAAAAAAAAAAAGAAGTGTATATGCCGTTTCCCCACTTACCCTTTTTGACATACGTACAGATCCAGCATGCATATTTGGTACTCTTGACTGTTGTTTTTTGTGTATAAAAGAAAATGGAAAATAAGATGTCTTTGAAAAAAACAACTGTTATTTGTCTGTTTATGGTGTATTCAGATCTGAATTTAATATAGCAAGTTTATCGCCGCTTACAGCTGAGACGAGTGGCAGTTGTATGATGCCATAACAGCGTAATACTGAGAAAGGAGCCCTTTTACACACGCGCTTTGATGACATTGGGCTTGGAATATTTCTGTCCTCGTTAAACATTTTCCAAATGTTATTATTCCATGTCGTATTGTAACAATGGGAGCAAATATCCTAAACTGCTAAACAATGATTCACACCCCCCCCCCCTCCCCAAGTTATGCCAAAGCAGTTTGCTATTGTTGGCGCAAATTTTTACGTAAAGTCCCCAGAATTTGATCTTGATTCTATCTATATTTGAAATAACTGTCTGGTTTCATTTGAATGACCTGAACTTCTGAAGAGGCATTGATATGCGTGGATACGACGTCGTGCCTCGCAGCTGTAAGCAGTCTCTTTCTCAGTGTTACCGGCCAGCGGCTTCTCTTGGTATTCTGTCCTTCAAATGTGTTTTGCCAATCACAGTTCACTTTACTTTCTCGTATTGGTTGCAACAGTTTGTTGGTTGTAGGTCTACCTTTGTTTATGAGCTGAAACTAATGTACGTTTATCAGTGGAGCCATATTCAGTTCTCTTGCAGAATAAAAGAAAATATTTTGTTGAGCAAAACAAAATGAGGATGTGTATTTTATCTTTTGGTTGGCAACGTTCAACAAAAGTTCCTATTTGGGTATTTGATAAAGTGTCTGGCTAAAATTACTGTACTAGCAGTTTTTTTTTTTACAATTTTGTGACGTATAAATTACTTAACAGCTTTCTGAACGTTTCTACTAGAACTTCAACAGACTATATTTCAATTATTATACTATTAGTCATATTATAATGAATTACTTTTAGACTTACTAAAACTACTTTTGGCTTACTATACAATAATTATTCTTCAACACATAATTGACATTCTATACTATTTTCTCAACACACTTGAGTATTATTATCCTATACTCGCTTTTTACAAGATAATATACTATGAATATGTTTTTCAAATATTACTATTACTATATTGGACTTGCTATACAGTGACCTTTTCAAAAATATTTGTTTCCTAGCAGTTATACTATAGATTTTGGGGGGAAAGTATACAGTGGTATTTATGAGATACTTTATTTTTTTCAACATACTACAAGAGAACCTTTTTTCCTCAAGATACACAGAACCCTCTTTTAATCAAAGCAGTAGCCAATAAATGAGGAATTCTTTAAAATTGAGTGTACGCCATTTGGCGATATATTCAATCCGTAAGTATTTCAATATCATGTCTCATCATAACAAAGGACTCTTAAATACCTCGTCAGTTGCAGGCTAATCATCGTGCCTGTAGTGCTACTTCCTCACGTAACAACTTGAATTGTTTTTTAATTCAGCATTCTGTACTAATTCCTTTTATTCAACAATCTATACTGACTACTTTTGCATGTTGTAATAATAGAAGAGAATAGCAAGTTGAAAGAAAATATTACTGACTCATCAAACTATGCATTCTTTTGACATTCTATACTCTATTGCTTTCTATTTTTTTCAATATACTACTAAGAACTTTTTTCTCCTCAACATACCTTTCCACAGAACCCTCTTTTAATCAGATTTTCTTTTAGTTCTTTTACTATAACATACTATAATATATATTTACATTTCAAACTTGTTATATTTACGTATGTATAGATTTGCATATACATCTATACAGATATACATATACACACATTCAACAGGACCAACAATACTTTTTATGATTTACTATTGTGCAGTAACTTTTTTCAATCAATTATTGGAAAACTAAGCAAACGTTATTTAGTCAACATACATTAAATGGAATAAAGTAATTGACCTTGTGTTTGTTTTAGTGAACGTGTGGGATGAGATCAATAGTGTGCGAGCCCGACTGATTCCTGTATAAATGATTCTTGGCTGCCGCATTAATCCCGTCTCTGCAGCCTTGAGAGCTGCCGGCCCTCACTTATTAAAAGACTATTTCTCCCAGCAAGAATCCACATCATTATTCTGCTCTCTATAAAGCTTAAATTCCGTTCTCTATTTTTAAAAATGGAGGCCACGGCACCTCAGTAATACACAGACCTTGAAACACAAACCCCGGGGGAGTCAACTCTTAAAAGTACAAACTAGAATTTCTTCTCCCTTTCTTTCACTCTCGCATTCAATTAATTTTGCATTTTTGCTCCATTTCCCTATTCTTAGGCGTGTTAATTAAAAGTGTAGAGCGAGATTCAGAGCGACGGTAATTACATTACGTCGAGACATTAAACAGAGCAGCAAGGCATGAATGGCCGTGCTTTAAATGGTTCACTTTTCTTTTCCTAGGAGAGAAATGCGTGACAAGCGCCAGTCAAATCACAGGAGCACTCATACATTACACTGTAATAACATCGATCTACTCTGTGAGGGTTGGCACACAGACACACAAAGACACTTAAATGGCTGATATGCATCTCGCACATACACAATATAGATGATGAAAAACACGTACATCTTAAAGTATTTCAATCATTTTGAAGGTTTATTGTTAAAATATCCCTGAACGCTAAGTACTTAGCATGGTGAATGAGTATTATAGCATTACGCATGACACATATTCTGAGAAGCAAGCACGTTAATGCTGCACAGTGGAGCTGGTGGAGGTTCAGGTCCATGGAACTATTCAACATCCTTCTAGATTAACGTCACAAGGCATCATGAAATAGTAACTGCAGCACCCGGATGAGTGTAAATGCACAGATATGGTGATTTTAAAAGAAAGCAAAATATAGGAACCGTTTGTAGAGAAAAAATGAATCTTTTTTAAAATAATTTGACAGAAACTTGTTAATGTCTTTTGTTGTTTGATCAATATTCATTTGACATTTATTGGACTTTGATTTGTTTTTGTATTCTTTTACTAGAAACCAGCAATCAAAGAGAAAGGAGATTGGAACTCAGACTTTAATTCCTTTATATTGATCACTTGCTGATCAATACGCAGGACTAAACATTCAAATCAGGTTTACATCCAGAATTAAAATAATCATCTTGGGATGCCACTCGACCGTTTATGGAAAATGAGTCCATAGTAGCTTCAGGCTGTACTTACAGTCCCAGAAGAAGCATTAATGCGACATGTATATTGGCATCAAGATTGATGATGGATAATATTCACTTAATGTAAATCAGCCAAGAATATGTATTTACTAGAAATGCATTTCATTAGAATCCTGAAAATGTTAAATGTGGTCCGTGAGGTTTCTGGTGGAACGAACAGCAGCTTTGGGCTTATAACAGCATCAGAAGCTGTAAATAACAGAAAAATATGAAGTGCAACGACAAAGCACTTTGGGCCAAATCACGTCATTAAGCTTTCTGACTTCACAAGGTCAAGAGTCAACAGTTTACAGAACAATCAGAACCAATGGAAAATACCTCGTCCTCTACTTATGAGAATGGATTGAAACCAAACAGTGTGGACCACCATGAAAACAGACAAGGGGCTACAACCACTTGTGGTGGTTCGTTTTGCTTGTAGCAATAAAAGCTACGAACAACATCATCCCACTGGACCTCAAGCAGCACCACATAGCAGCGGGCCATCTGCTCATATTCACAACCAGCAACCAAGATTAGCTGGAAGCTGAAAAGTACATTTTTCAAACTCATTTTGTGCAGCCCAAAGATCCCAAAATAGCCTCAGAGGATCCCTCTCCCGGGATGGACACGATGATGTCATGCGTACAGACAGAACAACGAAAGAAAGATACAGCGCTACTTAATGGGAGGTAAAACATCCCTGCTAGTAGTTTATCTTTGCCGAGTTGCACGCAGAATCTTTCAGATCAACTTGCTCTGTTGACGTGATGTACTGAGGGGTTTGTGGTACGAGGAGCAAAGCCACAGTGTCAACACAGATGGAGCATTGTGTGCAGGCAGCGTATCGGACGTCATTAACGCACGGGGCATCAACGGGCAGCTTGAAGCAAGAGTTTAAATGTTTATGTCATGAACAAAATTGTATATAGATCTTTGTAACAGTGAAAAGAGGCCAAGGGTGATTGTTACATCGGAGTGAGGACACAATGGCAAACTAAACTGATCTAAGGGTGAGATAAAGAACCACGTTTTTCATTTATGACAAATACTGCCGTGTGCTATTAAAGATTTAAGGTAAAACATCTTTGCTGTCCCTGCGACTGGCTGGCGACCAGTCCGGAGTTTGTCGCTGTGTAGTTCACTGGGATTGACTGCAGCCCCCCCGCGACGCCGTATGACGGATATCTGCACAAAGCATAAACACCTCGAACTGAGCGGGAAATGAAACAATTGTTCCTGTAAGTGAAGAAAAATTGAGAGCTGTAAAGGGGAGAGCATGATATGACTCCATAGATAACATGACCTAAAACAGACATTAGCGGTTCACGTGGTCCATTCTTTCATGAACATTAACTGTTTAAGCTTCAACCTTTTTTTTTTTAAGAGATTTTTTTTAAAATACACTACTTTGCAAACTCCAACTTGATTTTGAAGATAAATGGGGTCCGTTTCTCCAAAGCTCCTTTAAAGATGATGCATATTAGCACTGAATCAAATGGCTTTGATGCCATTGATGTCTTTAGTGCCTGCGGAGTATTTTTGGGATAGTCATCACAAAGAGTCAGAATTCCGTAAAATACTTAAATACCGATAAACGTCGATATGTTGGCTCACGTTATTGGATTAATTAACCACCGTTTTCAACCAGCTTCAACCTTACAATGAAGATGGCCAAGAGGCGACCAGAAGCTGAACAAGGAGCCGGACAGTTCTGCTCAAGCCGACCTTCCCAACAACACTTCACGCACGCACACACGCGCACACACACGCACACGCGTCAGTCCATTGTTCAGCGGCTCTTTGTACCATCAGACTTGCTCACCGTGCATTGATCATACAGAGACCATGATACACGCCAGATTAACATG